GCTGGACCTCTATCACTTGAACCACATCCCTATTTCTTAACTTTTTGGGGGGCTATTGCAAATGACATTTTAAATTCCATTTCCAACTGTTTCTTGCCATGGGGCTTTATATATTAGCCTTGAAGTCTAATGATTAACTCTAGTAGAATTGCATGAATGAAGACTTTAGGGCTTCTTTTTTTTTTTTGCCAGTCCTTGTACTCAGGGCCTAGGCCCTGTCTCTGAGCTTCTTTTGCTCAAGACTGGTACTCTACCACTTGAGCCACAGCGCCACTTCCAGCTTTTTCTGCTTATGTGGTACTGAGGAATCGAACCCAGAGCTTCATGCATGCAAGGCAAGCACTCTACCACTGAGCCATCTTCCCAGCCCCATTAAGTGCTATTTCTACATTTATTAAAATTACACAGTTTGTGCCTTGAATCTACAAATATGGTGAGTTACATGGACTGGCTTTCAGGAACTGAATTAAGCTTACAATCCTGGAATAATTATATGTCAAAATAAATTTTAATATTTTTACAACAAAAAAATGCAGGTCTAAGCTTTGGGATAAAAAGAGACATTAAAGATATAATTAACCACCTTGAGTAGACTTCATTGAATTCTGCTTCTTGTTTCTCTGACACAGGGCCTCATTATATGGTTCAGACTGTCCTGAAACTTGTGATCCTCTTGTTTTGACCTTTGAAGTGCTGAGATTACAGGCAAATTGCTACCACACTTGGCTGGGTTTTCTTTTTGTTGTTGTTATTTGGTTTTTGGTTTTGGTTTTCATGTGTATATTTATGAACAATTGAAAATTTGAACCCTCACAGGGCACTTGATGAAAGGCAGGGAACTACTGTTGATTTTTGTAGGTGTAATAATAATGAGACTGTAGTTACTTTGGGGAAATCACCCTCAGTTTTAGAGATGTCTACACAGAGATACTAATGACTGGAATGACATTTAAAAAAGCTTTGGTGGGCTGGGAATGTGGCTTAGTGATAGAGTGCTTGCCTAGCATATATGCGTGAAGCCCTGAGTTTGATTCTGTACGTATGAGGCTCTTGTTTGCTCACTTGCTGTTCCTTAGAGATGAGCCTGTCCCTTCCCTGTCCCCATCAGATTAGCTCCTGTCACAAGTCGGCTTGCTGCCACATAGCAGAGATGTGTCCTCCCACAGGACAGAAGGGCACGAGGCAAGCTCTGGTCTCTCCTTCCTTCACTCTGAGGTCCTCTTAGCCTAGCTGGCCATGGCTCTGCTGTTCCTGGCTGCGGATACCTAGCCTGTGTTCCTGAGGCAGAACAGGGAAAATGAAGTGTGGTGAACAACAGCTAGGAATACAAAAACTCAGCTTAAAACAAATACAGGAGGACACTGATCTTCACCCATTAACTTCCTTTAAGATAAAGGGACTACGGGTTGGGAAGGTGGCTCAGTGGTAGAGTGCTTGCCTTTCATGCATCATGCTCTGGGTTCGATTCCTCAGCACCTCATAAGCAGAAAAGGCAGGAAGTGGCGCTGAGGCTCAAGTGGTAGAGTGCTAGCCTACAGCTGAAGAGTGAGGGACAGCGCCCAGGCCCAGAGTTCAGGCCCAAACCAAAAAAAAAAAAAAAAAAGATAAAGGGACCAAAGTTGTTTTAGGAGGAAATGAGGCTGGGTAGATCAGAGAAAATGAGGCTGGCGGAAGGCAACTCAGAAACAAAGTATTTAGAGTCCTAGAATAGAAGACCGCGCGATGCCTTCCTTATCTTAATGATTAAGCAACTGTGTTAATGGCAGGATGCATTCTTTCCTGGGTGGAATGCCCAAAATGTGCAAGAGCTAAAGTGTGTGATTCTAGGAGTATTTAGAGCAAAGACCACTGCTTAGAGCACCGCAGCACTTTGGTGTCAGAAGCCCCTCCTTTATCATATCAAAGTCTCTGAGGCCCGAGCTCCACGCCTCCCCCTCGGAACACTCTGCTAGAGCGTGCCTCCGCCTTTGCGCTTTTCATCTGCCGGCTCACTTACTAAAGCTGGGTGGGCCACGTTTTCTTACCATTATGACCGGTCCAGAAATGATTCTGAAATCAACATCAAGAACTCAAGTGGAGAGTCCTTACTTTCAGAGGGAAACACAAACCTCCTCCGGCATCCGGTGACCTCCCCGCCAGCCCTCTCCACGCCCCAGGGCCAGATCCTCCTTGCCAGACTGGGTTTTCAGACTCCAAACCCGAAGTCCTACATTAGGTCCAGCTACTCACCCTGATGTGCCAAATAGAGATGTGGTGAGCGGGGCATTAGTGGCTCACACTGTATACCTAGCTACTCAGGAGGCTTAGATCTGAGGATTGTGGTTCAAAGCCAGAGTGGGTAGGAAAGTCCGTGAGACTCTTACTTTCTTACTTTCAATTAACCACCAGAAAACTGGAAGTGGTGTTGTGACTCTAGGCAGGTAGAGCACTAGCCTTGAGCAAAAGAGCTCAGGGACAGCTCCCAGGTCCAGAGTTCAATCCCCACAACAGAGTGAGAGCAAGAGTGGGGGGGGCAGCCATGGAAAGACAGCACTGCGGTACATGTTCAAGCCTTCTTTAGGATAGAGACAAATAGGGAGAGTTTTGGAAAGGGGGTGAAAGGTAGGACTAATCAAAATGGCCTCAGGGCTCGGGTGCGGCCCAGCTGGCTTCAGCTTGTCTTCCTCCTTCCTCTCCCAAGCCTGGTGGGTGGGCTGCAGCCTTTGGTGGTGGATGATCTTGAAGGTGAAGGCAACGTTGGTCTGAGGGGCCTTTGACTCTGTCATGGGGTGCTTGTCAGTGAACCCCATCTTTCCTGGAGTCCAAGGTGATTGTAAAGTGACTTCAGCAGGGAGCGGCTCAGATCCAAGGATGTAGATTGTGTGTGTGTTTGTGTGTGTGTGTGTGTGTTGGGGGGGCTGGGTACGAGTGTGAATTTATAGGCCCCACAAAAGCAGTGCTTAGGGCTGGGAAGGTGGCTCAGTGGTAGAGCACTTGCCTTGCATGCATGAGGCCCTGGGTTCGATTCCTCAGCACTACATAAGCAAAAAGAAAAAAGCGGGAAATGGTGCTGTGGCTCAAGTGGTAGAGTGCTAGCCTTGAGCTGAAGAGCTGAGGGACAGCGCCCAGGCCCAGAGTTCAGGCCCCACAACCGGACCCCCCCCAAAAAAAGAAGTGTTTACATTGCTTCTTACAATTACAGCTTGACTGGAGGGGGGAAAGAGGGGCTTCTGGAAGAAGAGTGGACTCCATCTGAACCGCCCAGGGACCAGCTCAGTGACTGTGATCTCATCAAATCTCGTGACCTACGACCTCCACCTTGATCTCATGGAGTCTCACAGTGACCTATGACGTCCACGCCTCCCCTGGGCACAGAACTATCGTCTTCGGCCACCCAAGGGGGCGTGCAGTCCCTGATGGCACGTCATAGTGAGGGCCAGGAACTCCTTTGCCACTGTCCAGGCCTCCACAGAATGACCTCGCTCTCCACCCAGAACACAGAGTCCAGCAGCGGTTCTGGGAAACGCTGTATCTGCGAGTTTAATGAGTGACCCGGACGCAGAGCTGTTTTCCCCTTCTCTGGAAGCCAGGTGGCCCCGGGGCCCGGGCAGCTGTCTGTGCCCCTGGCCAATGACCTCTGGCAGAGTGCAGAAGTGGGCAACACCCCCTCTCAGAGCTGGCCCCTGGAAGGCGGCCATGCCCGTGGGTGGGGAAGGGCAGTGGGTCAGGGCCCCATCAAGCCTAGTCCATCACCAGTTTGCGCCACTGTGGAGGCATCTGCCTGTGTGTCACAGCTCCAGACTGGGAGGCGGTGGGAGGAAGGTGAGGAGGGGGAGGCTGGGGACAGGCAGAACTTTAGGGACACGTTAGTTGTTTATTCCTTCGATCCCAGCTCTCCACTCCTCTCTCCTTCTCCCATGGGGCTGCCCAGGTACCAGGGGGCTACAGTACTGTCCCCGGGGCAGGAGGGCCTGGTCTAGTCCTCTATCTCCTTGTCTGTGACTTGGGGACATTGTTTCCTGCCTTGGGAGCTCCTGGGAGAGTAAAATGACCTCAAGTTCCTAAGACACTAGACAGTCAGCCAGTAAGTTTTACAAACTTGAAAGGCTGGGCTGGGCTAGATGGGGGCGGGGGAACATCTGCTCTTTTCCCACCCAGGGCTAATAGTATCTCTTGTCTTGGGCTGCAAAATCTGGGGAAAAAAATTAACAGCCCAGCAGAAAGCAGGGCTCACGATCTGACCCCTGACCCCTAGGGTTACACAAGGAGGGTTGTTGAGCCTTAGCAGTTCTCTCTGGTGGGTGGGTCCTGGACCAATGGGGCTTGGAGAACCTGGGAAGCCCCGCCTCCTCTCTTCCACCCAGCCTGGAATTCCTCACAGGAGGTGGGGGGGGGAGGGCTTTTAGCTTGTAAAGGACTGGGGGGGGGGGACCCGGGAGGAGGGAATCAATGAGTGTGAAAATGACTATGAACTTGAAACCTAAGCTTCCACCAATAAAGTTTTATAGGTATAAGCCACGCCCGTCCAGTTGTGTGTCCTCTGTCTGCTGCACACACCAAGGACAGAGGGATAGTTGCAACAGAGACAGGATGTTCTGAAAAGCCCAAAATATTTATGCCCGACTCTTTACCAAAGAAAATACGCAGCGCCCAGGCTGAAAGGAAACCAGTTTTGAAAGAGGGAGAGCCCCGGGGAAGGTTTTGTATACGCCAGGACAGGCGGTTGGCTCTCCTCTGCAGTCCCAACCACGCATTGGAGGCTGAGATCGGAGGACAAAGTGAAATCCAGATTTAGGACTCTTATCTCCAATTTACCACCCAAAAAAGAGTGGCAGACAGCTCTTCTTTAGCCAAACTCCAAGGGAGAGCCTGAGACCCCGAATTGAAATTCCAGTCCTCATCTCCCCCACAAAAAGACTTCAACCAGTCACTTGGCAGTCAGGTGACATCTGGTCTTCTTTCCTGGGCTTCCTTTACCTGTCTGATCGCTTCCCTCACGGTCCAGATGAGAGAAAGGGGGTTCAGAGGGCGGTGCCTGTGTCCCACTGCACCCCAGGACCAGGGAACCGTGTGCAGAGGCAGGCTCTGGGCGGCAGCTTTCAAAGGGGAGGCCAGAAAGAGGGGGAAAGCACCCCAGGAGCCATGCCACTGAGCCTGGCTTTTTGTTGCTGATGATGGAGATGGGGTCCAGGGGATTTTTTTTTCCTGTCCTGACCGGCTTTACACTTTGATCCTCGAGATCCCAGCCTCCTGGGCAACTAGGATTCTAGGTGTGGGCTGCCAGCACCTCACGTTAAATACTACCCTTAAGACTTGCAATGAGCATTTACTTACAAGCAGTTAGAGCCCGTAGCTCTTGGTACTGCCTAGGGCTGTGTGGCACATTAATTCCCATTAGTTCCCCGTGTGCTATGTGTGTGTGTGGGGGGGGGGCGAGGCCTCGTACCACATTTGTATTGCACAGTAACCAGGCGCTTTGGTCCACACCACAGAGCCCATGGGCGGGGACCCAGCAGCTAGCACCCCGGGGGGCTCCTGGGTCCCTAGGGCGGCCTCCTGTCTCCCAGCCAGAGCCCCTCCTGGCCGAAGCAAAAAGAAAACCACACGAGGAGGCCCCGGGCTGAGAGCGATTCGTTTTATGTTCGCAGGCGCCGTGCGCCCCACTTCACCCGGGTCCCAGGGTGGGGGGTGCAGGGGGTGCGGGGTCCCGGGGTGGGGGGTGCAGGGGGTGCGGTGTC